CTAAACTCCGTTTATTTTCTTACTGATAAATTGATTTCCATCTGTCCCAGCCATCATATAATTTTAATTCTTGTGATATGAAATTGTGATATGAAATTAAGCTGGGTTCCGAAGAATCTCTATGTGCATTGATGTTAACGTATCTATCATTTCGTTTGAAATGGCATTTTGATCAAATTCGTCAATTTGCCTCTGGACGACGAAAGAGGATTACCTTCGATTTGTAACTTCTGGATTGTAGGAAGAATTCCTCGACACATCGCCATGCTACCCTGATAAACTCATGTCTGTCATGTAACAGACATCGTCAGAGCCAGTAGCTCCAAGAAAACAGCAACTTTTTAGAATATGGTGCACGATGTTAATGATTACAGGAATTTGTCATCGATATTAGATCAAAGAGAGATGGCGAGGGAAAACAATCACCGACATTTAAATTAAACCTGCACCGTGCCGAATCGAAATAAGAAAAGGTACAATGTTAAGTTGGTGTATAGCATTAGGGCGAAAGGAGACTGCGGCCATACCAGAAGCCACAATATCTTGGTCTTCATATCTTCGATATCAGCAACGTTTTACATCGTAAACCATCTCTCTAAAGTTGTTGTTTATTGTGGCTTCTATCAATAGTGCCAACATTATCACTTCATATGCCATAGTCTCTTGTGTGCCAGCCCACAAATGTTGTGGTACTGCCTGCCTTAATTAGGTTCAATGCAGCAGACAATTGGTCAAAGGACCGGCCTCAATTGTCTCTTTGACGAGTTGTAGTGTGGTGCTAAGACTGCAAATGCTCACTGACGATTGCGACTACGACGCCTGCGAAATGTCTGGGAATGTACCACGTCCACGGTCCTACTCTGGAAAAGATGAAGCATACAATGGACTTCGGACTAGGTGCATTCCTCTAAGTCTTCCTACCAATATGACCAAGCTAGGAAAACAAGGTCAATCAAATTCTCTACAACAAAAATATTCTGCGAACACACATAAAGGTCACACCATCATGCTTTTCATGCCTTCGAGGATATTAGCTTGTTGATTTACCCTTGCGTAGTATTCCATGTCAACTTCTGATTGGGCGATGAAGTGTCAAGCCTTGATTGGTCGACACGACATGAAATGTGAAAATTAACCATGCGCTCACGTGATCTCTGTGTACAATGGTTTTGAGCCGTGGCTGCGTATAGGATAAGATCTTGACTAGGTTGAACTTTCAGTCCCTCCTGGATAAGATAGCCTTTTGAGAGGCAAAATTATGATAAGTTTAATAGTATTTCATTTTTGCAAAATTTAAATATCAATCCACACATAATTTAAAACAACCTAAAGTGAATTTGGTTCTTTTAAAAGACCTATTAAGAATTCATACACACACTTATTATACATATTTATACAATATTTTTTGGTCTTAGTGGCTCAGGTGAACCCCGAATTTCCGATGATTTGGCCGTTTATCAGGCCAATTTTCAACCAGCATCTGGGCAGATGAATTCACAGAATATCCGAACTAGGCTTTATGCATCCACACAGTCACTCTCTACTCCATCCAATCATTACTCTGCTCATCTCGCTCAGCATCATGTCCAACAACAACCGCGAACCTCACAGAGAGGCATTGTAGTTGTCAATCCTGGCCCCGGTACCCAGGGTCTTCGGCAGAAGTCAACTTCCTTGCATATTGAAAAGTCTGCCTATCCTTTTTACCCTTTGGAAGCTTCCGAGTCCGGTGATGTCGCCAACTCTGCGGAAGTTCGTCGTCTGGCCCGATTGCCTGCCTTTAAACCTCTACTTTCGGACAGTGTTATTACTTCTACTGGATCTGGCGTTGCCTCTTTCATTGGACTTTTTACTCAGTCAACCCCCGTTTATCCTGTCTCAACTACACCATCTCACTGTAAACCAACACAGCGGGTGAATATTGAACCGAAAATTGTAAGTGTGTGTGTGTGTGTGAAGTGATGCTATGTATGCTTTTACTTTTAGTCATTTGGAGCGGTGGATTTCTATTCTTTCCATCTCACTACTGCCCTACTTTACAGCTCTGTCGCTAGACAGGCTACGCCACTGCCCATGACGATTAATTAGGTAGACTAAGCTCATGAATACCTCTACTCTTACCCTACATGCTCGGTGTTACTAAACTTACCCAGTTTTTGTCTTCTGTTGGTATTTATTTTTTATTTTATGATTCCTTTTACCTCCGATTAAAATTGCTTTATACAAATTTGATGCTTATCTTCATGAATGATAGTGTAAACACGAGTTTGTAGATTATATTCAAAGCTTTTATCTGTTCAGGACACTTATTGAGGTACTCTTTTTTATCCCTTGACTAGGATTTGCCATTCATGACTAATATGCAGCAATAGGAAAGATAGATTCTCGTCCCCATAAAATCTGCTTGCCGAATTTCCTCCCATTTTAAGTTTGCTCTTGCTAAGGCTTTATCACATTGTTGTTATTGAAATCCCTGTTCGCTTCCAGTTCGGTTAATCTATTTAAACAATGGTTCCTATGCTATGATCAGTTGTTGGACGTAGACACTGCAACTTACCTTAACATGCTTTTTATAAGTCTATGTTGAAACCTGGTAACACTTCAAATAAACTGAATGGCTTCTAGATACGCAAGGAAACATATCGGGAGAGTTGTAAGACGATAGAGGCTAAAATTACACTTAACATATATCATTCGATCCTGTGCAGGGATTGACGAAGCATCTCAGCATTTCTATAGGCCTATTTTAGGAACCAATATATCATTATGCTGTTGACATTAGACACATAATCGTACAACGCATACTTAATGCTCATGCATGCAGTTGCGCCAAAAGAATTTTGAGAAGCTTTACATAATAAACATTATTTTGACTTTGTTGCTTAACTTACTATGCATGCATTGTCTGAGTCTTCTACGTAAATATATACTTACCTAAACACAGTTTGGAGACAGCGTATCCATATACTTTCCATCCAATTTACTATATGCGTTGTCAAATATTGCAAGCCACATTTTTTTTGTTTTTATAGTTTATGCAGATTTCTTCACGGTGTGAAGAACACCTAAAAATCTCTGCAGAAACAGCATTATCAAATCAACAATCCTTGGTTGTTTCAATGAAACAGGTTGGCAACATATCGTCCTTTTTTGAGATAATTTTTTATATTCGCAAAGCATTGCTATTTGCCTTTGAATCATTTTTGAATAGTTAAAGTATCAAGGCTTTGGTCTTAATTCCCTTTGGCAACTTGTTAGTGGTTTCTGGGATACTTTGACAACTGTATCCTGTTCTATGCCAAATGCAACCACTTCACGATTTCTTCCAACAGTGAAGGGTTAATTAGTTTCATTCATAGATGTTTACCCATTTCCTTATTCTTTACCCACAATCACCACTTATCATAGCGAAAGTTGACGTCCATTGCTTATTAGTCCATTTCTTCCTTTTAACGATATTTTCGCAGCGTCTGGAAATTTACCCAATAAACAGTCATATATTGGATGCAAGCATAAAGCCTATGACAGGAGAATCAGTGCTGGATATGTTCTTCGAAAAATTCATGACGCTACAATTAAGTTCCGTGAACCAAGTCAGACTAAATGTATGGAGCAAAAGATAATTGCGATCAGAATTGAAACCTCTTTATTTAAGTAATCTTAAATATTATACATTCGTATTAAGTAGGTTTTTCTGAACTACCAGTAGCTCTTAAGTAAGTGAGATTGTTTTTACTTCGTTTGGACTAATAGAAATAAGGTAGATTTACATCTATTTTCTTCTGTCAACACAGGCTCAGAATGCTTTTTTTCTATTATTATTTCCATCAAGGACGAGAGCAAGGATGAATATGAGTTTTCTTAAGGAGCGTTACTATCTTGTATACACCTACTGAGCAACAAATCTTATTCATTACTTTCATTAATTTTGCCCATTACTATACGAGACCTTATAAATTTTAGAACGTAATCCTTGACTATGTTAAATTAGCTAGTAATATTCATTTGAAATTTTCTTTCGAATCGGCTAGTTCAAGCATACTTACTAATTGATTGTCTAAATCTAGTTATATATTTCTCGATTTTCTTAATAATTCTACCTAAAGTTAGGATAAAGAAAACTGAAGGTTAAATCGTTTCTTTCTTATAATTGGCTGGGTTGTGGTTAGTAGGGTAGCAGTTTTCAGCAGATAAAGAAGTGCATAATCCTTTTGCAATGTAGCACACATTTTTAAAGATGCAAACAAATCCCACAAATTTCGTGAA